TCTCTCTCTCCCTCTCTCTCTCTCTCTCTCTCTCTCTCTCACACACACACACACACACACACACACACACACACACACACACACACACACATACACCCGGCCCCCAGCCCACACCCCTGTGCCCTGCGTGAACGCATCAAACCCGTTTAGCCGCGTTCAACGCGTTCAAAACATGAATGCGAAACGTGCGGCAACACTGTTGAGCAGTATGACTTTGAACCCCAGTATATCAAGGGGGAGTACAACAAGGTTGTTGATGCGTTGTTGCGTAGGCCAGATTTTCTCGGTGCGCTGGTCACTAAATTTGGGCTTGTGGACGATGTCACTCAATCCTTGGTGGAAGACTATCGCGAGGATTTGTTTATTGCTGAGATCATACACAGACTCGCGGCGAAGGACAAAGCGACTTCTGCCGAGTTTGAGTTGGTCAACAGTCTGCTGTTCCTTGAGAAGGCCGTGAATAAGCATTTGTATGTGCCCAATCGAGAGTCTTTGAGTAGTTTATTTTTAGGTGAGTGTCACGATGCCACAAGACATTTTGGTTATAAAAAGACTGCAACCAATTTGCTGCAGCAGTTCTGGTGGCCCACAATGATGAAAGATGCCAAGCTGGACGTGGAGACCTGTGAAGTATGCTAGAGGGACAAGCCACGTGCACAGGCCCCTCTTGGGTTTCTGAAGCCCCTTCTGATTCTGGAAAGGCCCGGTGAGAGCGTGTCCATGGATTTTTTGGACATCCTGGCCACCAGCAAGAGTGGAATGAGACACATCTTTGTCATTGTGGATAGGTTAAGACCGTTTAGTAAATATGCTAGACTAGTTGCAATGCCCGAAACAACAAAAACGGAGTATGTAATTAGAGTCTTCATGGAGAACTGGGTCAGAGACTTTGGGCTTCCAAAGTCTATCATTAGTGACCGGGATGTTAGATTTACAAGCGAGTTGTGGAAGGCTGCAGCTGCAAAACAGGGTACACATCTGCAGATGACCTCCAGGAACCACCCAAGGCCAACGGCCAAGTAGAGCAGCTGAACCGCGCTGTACAACACCTGTTGCGGCACTACATCAAGCCCAACCAGGTGGACTGGGATGAGAAACTTGCTCTCGTCGCCAGCCTGTGCAACAACGCTGTGCACAGCGCCACTGGGGTGAGCCCTAACAGTCTGCTACTGACTTTCAAGCCTAAACTGCCACTGGACTTTCTACTACCTGAGAACCAGCCAACTGCTGCACCGGGCTCACAAGAATTTGCCTATCGATATGAACAAGTGATGCAGAAGGCAGTAGAACAGATGCACGAGACACAGGCGGCGATGATAGAATCTGAGAATAAGCACTGCCACCCATCCGCATTCCAGGTAGGGGACATAGTCTAGGTTAAGTCCTCAGAACTGGGTCAGGAGAACGGGATCTGCCACTTGTAGTCTGGGTGCAGAGCGCCTGATAGGATGTCGACATTTTTTCTTTGTTGATGATGATGAGACCATTCAAACATTGTCACTTATGAGTTTTTGCTGTGCTCTAATTTGGCGGGACTCGTGTTGCAATTCTGCTATTGGTTCGAGGTCACGACTATCTGGTCTCATGTGTATGATGCTGCTTGGTTTCTGAAGTTCGCTATCGCTCATTTTCCTTGCACTTGTTTTTCTTATTCCTTTTTCACGCTCGTTCAGTGGGGTCGATCGTTCCCTGCACCAACCCCCCGCGCGTATTTGTTTTCCAAGCAGGGAAAGGGGCGGGGAAGATTAATGGTAGCAGAGAGGGGAAGAGAGCCATGCATGCAGCATATGTGCAGAGGGAAGAGAAGCAGGGGAGGAGCCTGGGAGGAGGTAGAGGTCTAGATTTGCTACAGAATTGAACTGTGGTGTGGGGGATGTAGACTGTTTTCACTTGAAAATTTGACATGCAGGGCCATCGGGGCAGTCAACGGAGGAGAGCGGAGCGCCGGGAGGAAAGATTCAAAAAAGAAGCGAAGGGATGTTGTGAAGAGATGAGAGAAGAGGGAAGGGCAGGAAAGACAGTTGAAGTTTTGTGCAGGGAACAGAGATGGACAGCTGCAAGAGGGAGAAAGGTGCCACGCATTTATAAGGATCACAAACTAGAAACCGTGGCACAAGCGGAAACAATGTAAAACTGGTAGATAGGGCCTACGGGAAAAACCTTTTTGGTTTTCCACGCCCAAACTTTTCCCTTTCGGCAGAAAGGACCCACAGGCAATACATGCAGTCTGATTGGGTCCCAACTGCTTACCCTCTTGGGCCTCTTCCCACGAGATTATGAACCTGGCCCTGTATTTGCTCCAGACTTATTTTCCGGTAGACCCTTCTTGCCAAACTGTTACATGCTGCGCCTGCACACGAGGGCCATTTTCCGGGCCCTGTGTCGTTCAGGCTGGAAGCCTGAATTTCAGGCTCAAGGCCTGGAAATAAGGGCCTGCAGACCCCAGGACGGTTCAGCCCAAATGCCGGACATCCGGGGCCCACAGGACCTGCATCGTTTCAGCCAAAAAGGGCCCGAGCCTTTTCAACCTGAAACTGAGGGCTATTCCCGGGCTTGCAGACCACATGACGGTTCAGCTCAAAAGCCCGACATCCAGGGCCCACAGGCCCTGCATCGTTTCAGCCTAAAAAAGGCCTGAGCCTTTTCAGCCTGAAACTGAGGGCTATTTCCGGGCCTACTGGCCCCATGATGGTTCAACCCCAAAAGCCTGACATCCGCCCTGCATCGTTTCAGCCTAAAAAAGGCCTGAGCCTTTTCAGCCTGAAACTGAGGGCTATTTCCGGGCCTACTGGCCCCATGACGGTTCAACCCAAAAGCCTAACATCCGGGGCCCACAGGCCCTGCATCGTTTCAGCCTAAATAAAGGCCTGAGCCTTTTTAGCCTGAAACTGARGGCTATTCTCGGGCCCTTGTCAGACCAACCTGCCCTTAAACAAGCACAGTCGGGCATGGGCAGGAGTGAYSTGCCCGGAAGCTTCCTCAGGGGCTAGCACGTCCARGCATTGGCAGGAGTGAYCCGGCCTGAAGCTTCCTCATGGGCTAGCACGTGCAGGCATTGGCAAGAGCAGCCTCCTGGAYGGGCCAGCACTTTATAAGACTGGCCCGCCGTACAGGTTGGACACAGACGAGAGGAGACTGCCCAGACACTCRATGTGCACTTYTGCAGGAGGCAGTAGTCTTCAGGATKYGGCTGCAATAGTAGAGTAGCGTTAGCAGTAGTCTTCAGCGTTGGGCGCTWGTAGCAGTAGGCTACAGTAGTGGAGAGAGGAGGCTGGCGGAGGCCAGGGATACTTACCTRTGGCRCCATAGCTCCAGCTTCGTCGTCAAGGTACCTGCAGCAGGACGCCGCCTTCAGGGTGACTTACCTGTGGCGCCATAGCTCCAGCTCGTCATCGAGGTACCTGCAGCACAGCGTCACCATCACAKGTTAGTACCTGGTTCCGGAGAGAGAGAGAGAGAGTTCTTCTTCTTCCTCTTCTCAGTCCACCATCTCCCTCCCTATCCTCTCACTGTCTGACTTCACTGCTTCGGCAGACTACGAAAGTGAGAGTGGTTACTTGCAGAGGTTACAGGCAGGGATTGTCACGGGCATTGGGCCCAGGATCTGGTTTGACATTTTTGGGCAGACATTTGTTGGACTTCGGCCAGGGACTATCTTGAACTCCGCTATTGCGACCTTAGTCTTCTCCCTTGCCTCCATGTTCGTCCTTCCCTCCCCCTCCATCTCTCATCCGTGGTATCTCCCCATGTGTGTATGCAGGAGGGACCTTCGTCTATGCATGCGGTCCCTCCTCTCCCTCTCACATGTGTGATGTATGATGGGATGTCGTAACAGTCCAGGTCAGGTTATGACTTATCTCAAAGACTTCCGCTGTGCTATCAAATATCATTTTTCATGTATCGGGATGTACATTGTCTGTTGATGTTTCACTAACAGTACCTTGTCCATTCATTCCTTTTCATCACATTGTGGATCCTTGGCTGAATACATAGCCCAACTTGGCATGTAACAGTTGGTATCGGAGCTGCCCACGTGAATCAGGACTACCTGATCTGACACATGCACGGGGAGTTAGCTGGTGAAAAAGACTCGACTGACTTATTGGTTGGTTGAACACACTAGTTAATCCCCAAAATCACGATTTTGACCCAACTGCAAAAAATCGAATTTTTTTTCTGGATATCGTTGTTCCATGAATTCTGATTGTGGAAAAATCGCAGCAGGACAATTCTTGAAATTTCTGTTGTCTTGAAAAGTCGAAATTTCGTTGTTGGAAATCCAGAATATCTCTTTTTGAAAATCTCGATTTTGCATATTCCCGTACTTAAAAATTCGGAATATTTTTTTTTGAAGTTCGTTTTTTTTCAAAACGGTACGGGAAATCTCTCTGGCAGTACTACTTTCCAAGCTGCGCATACTCTCATTAAAGCAAATCCGAATCTTTTTTTTATAATCATTTGCAGTCAGGAAGTCGAAATTTTTCAGTTGTATCTCGTACTTCGGGGATTGGTGGAGCTTGCTGAACTTGCAAACAAATATTTTTCTCTTTTCTTCGTCCCCTCAAAAAAAAAAAAAAAAAAAAAAAAAAAAAAAAAAAAAAAAAAAAAAAAAAATTGCAAAGTTCAAAGTTTTTTGTTTTGATTAGCGGCTCCTTATCTGGGCGATCTACCCCACCCACCCTCCCTATCTACATTGTTTGCCACCTCTGATCTCATCTTCTTCATCCATTCCGGGTATTCCCTGTGGTGGCGCTGGTAAGTTGCCACGTCAGCGGGCCACGTCAGCAGACCACGTCAGCAGGACACGTAAGCAGGCCACGTCAACAGGGAGTGCCACGTCAGCCACCCGGGCCTGTTTATGCTGACTTGCTCGCAGACAGCCGTCATGGTCTAGAAACTGGGGGAAACGGCGGAGGCATATCAGGACCGCATGTTGGCTTTGATCATAGAAGCCAAGCGGCGGGCGGATGCAGTAGCAGTCGCAGAGAAGAAGAAGGCGGAGGATGCCGAGCAGGCACGACTGCTAGCTCTTGAACAGCAGCGTCTGCAGGCCGAGGCAGCAGCGAAGGGTGCAGATGAAGAACTATTGAAGCGACGTGAGAAGATTTTCAGCGGGGAGCAAGCATTACTCACATTGGCAGCGGAATGGCGAACTGAGGCGGAGACAGGGAAGATGGAGGAGAGCGAGAACAAGATTGCCCTCCTCCTTTCCCATCTCACGGACCTCCTGGCGACATGCATCGCGCAGCAGGAGGACATTCACAGCCTCGATGCCGAAGTCAAGAGTGTTCGCAGCCGCGTACAGCAGCTGGAGCAACGACCCGTTGCCGCCCATGTGGCAAGCTCCTCCAACACATCAGACCGCCTCAACGCATTGGAGACTGACGTCAGTGCACTCAAGGACAACGCACGACTACAACAAACCGCTACTCAACAATTGGAGCAGCGGGTCTGTGCTGCCGCCGCCAGTCCGAGTTCGGTACAGCGCGAGTCAACTCCCAAGTTTGACGGTCAGGAGATCTTCTGCGATTCAACAAAGATGGATCCAGTTCAGTGGTTCCGCAAGTTTGAACTCATGTTGCAGCTGCATCTCGTCAGCGAATGCAAGCACCACGCGTACTTATACTCCCGGTCGTGAGGCGCATGCCAGGCATGGCTGGACAATCTCTTGTCCCAGTACGGGGTGGTCGCTGTCAAGTTACACACGAAAATCAGTTGGGAAGACCTCAAGGCGGCGTGGCACAAGCCGTTCCAAGTGGAGCCGCTAGAGATTAAGGCCATGGACAAGCTCATGACCTTCGAGCAAGGCTCGCTCCCAAGCGTGGACTGGATTGCCGAGTACCAACGCTTGACATCCGTCCCAGGTCTCCCGATGGGCTTCAAAGCCATCAAGCACTACTTCATTTCAAGGTCGTGCCCGACGTTGAGCAATGCCTTGATGCATATTGAGGACACACTGATCACGACGGCGCAACTGTTCGATAAGGCCGCACAGATTATCGTCAGAAACAAGGAGGTGAAGAACCTCACTCGTGCTGCGGCAGGCCCGAGCAAGGACCAGAATCGGCCCAAGGTGGCCGTGGTTGCGGCGACATTGTTAAGCAGCCAATCTAGCGAGGCGCAGTCTGCCAATGAAGGAGACAGACTCGCAGCTGCCCAGGATGGTGGCCGCCCCGGCCGAGGCCGAGGACGCGGTAAATCGAAGACAAACACCACATCAAACCCTGGGCCCGGCGCAGCAGCTCATGGGCCCTGGACCCCTTACGGTCTTTCGGAGCAAGCTTACAAGCAACACACGAAATACCGTTACTGCTTGTGGTGCAACAACCTGCCACGAGACAGCGGGCCGCCCTACCAAGGGGAAAGGCAAGCAGGGAAACTGAGCGCCGCCGAGAGTGCGTCGACGACACTCTCGACGCCTTCGGACCCCGTTTCTTCGCGAGTGACCAGCCTTCATTCTGGGGCGCATGCGGAAGTCGATAGTCCTCTTCTCTATTCTTTTGAGGACTATATTGCCCGGCTCGTTCCGACGCTGGGATCTTTTGCTCAAGGACAAGACGTGTGTGCGGCATCTTCTCCTTCCGGCAGCGGTTCTTCTTCGTCTTCAAGTGGTTCTTCACGGGATTCGGCGCGCGAGTTCAACATAGAGGAATTGAACCTGCTCACGTCTGAGGATTTCACATGGCTTTCTGTCCCGACCACAGGCCGCTTGCCGGGACCGCAATGCGCAGCACTCTGCGCCCATCTTCACAAGTACTTGTCCTTCTTTGCACCACCAACTTCGCCGACGGATGACGAGGTCGCGGTGAGGGACACCTTGGCATATGTTACCAAGGTGGCCCGCGAGTTTCGCACGCAGCGGTACGACGATAATAACGCACCGCTGATGTATGTCCCCATCCAAGTTGGGCAAGCGTCCTGCAGCGCTTTGCTGGACAGCGGCGCGATTCGCAACTTCATGAGCCAAGCCTTTATAAAAAGGGCTGGCCTCGGCGCGCAGGTTCGAAGGAAGGCAAACCCGACGACGATCAAGTTGGCGGATGGAAAGACGCAGCAACTTCTCGACCGTTACATYGAGGYTGTACCKGTGTACTTYGCACCTCAYGCATGCGAACCGGTCACGTTCGACATCTTGGACACGGACTTCGATATCATCCTGGGAATGCCTTGGCTCGCAAGTGCGGATCACACGGTCAACTTTCACCAGCGGACTCTCACCGTTCGCGACGCCTTCGGCGCCGAGGTGCCGTGTACTATTCCGCTTCCGCACCCTTCGATCCGGTGCCAAGTCGTGACGGCCAAATCGTTTCGGGCTACATGTGCATATGAGCAACCCGAAGAGATAGGCCTATGTTTCTTGCGGACCGTCGCGGTAGCCGACTCTTCACCATCGGACTTGTCTTCGGACCTCCGTGTGGTACGGTTGCTTGACGAGTTCGCCAACATCTTCGAGTCACCTACCGGTGTGGTGCCAGATCGGCCGTTCTCTCACGAGATCATTGTTGAGGCCGGTGCCGTGCCGCCGAAAGGTTGCATCTATCGGATGAGCGAGGAGGAACTGGAGGTCCTTCGCGCACAACTCGATGACTTGTTGGCCAAGGGCTGGATCCGCCATAGCAGCTCCCCATATGGAGCACCGGTTCTCTTCGTAAGGAAGAAGAACAAGGATCTACGTCTGTGCATCGACTACCGCAAGCTCAACGCGCAAACTCTGAAGAATGCGGGGCCTCTCCCTCGTATCGACGACCTTCTTGAGTGGTTGGGCAGTGCTAAGTTCTTTTCCAAGTTGGACTTGAAGTCGGGGTACCATCAAATTTCGATACGCCCGAATGATTGCTACAAAACCGCATTCAAGACACGGTATGGGCATTTTGAGTGGGTGGTCATGCCTTTTGGCCTCACCAAAAGGCATGCTTCAACGAGTGTTGGAGACGCTCCGCCGTGCCAAGTACTTAGACGACATTCTCATCTATAGTTGGACCTTGGAGGATCATCTTGAGCATCTTCAACGAGTGTTGGAGACGCTCCGCCGTGCCAAGTACAAAGCCAACCGCGTTAAGTGTGAGTTCGTCCTCCAAGAGCTTGAGCACTTGGGCCATTTTGTCACACCGGAGGGCATCACCCCCTATCGAAGAAAATTCAAGCCATCCAGGAGTGGCCGGAGCCGCGTAACGTCACGGATGTCTGTTCGTTTCTTGGTCTTGCTGGCTACTATCAGCGCTTCATCAAGGGCTATTCGAAGATCGTGGCCCATTTAATCAAGCTTCAATGCGAGGATCGGCCGTTTGACTTCGACGAGGATGCGCGGGAATCCTTCTTGGCTCTTAAAGCTGCACTTTTGTCAGCGGAGGTCTTGCGGATCTAAGACCCGCTATTGCCCACACGCGTTACTACTGATGCATCCGGCTATGGCATTGGTGCAGTCCTCGAACAACACAATGTCGTGGACTGGCACCCGGTTGAGTATTTCAGCAAGAAAGTGCCCGCCGTGCACTTTATTGATGATGCACGAAAGAAGGAGTTATTGGCATTCGTACACGCACTCAAGCGCTGACGACATTTCCTTCTTGGTCGACGGCAGTTCCGATGGGTAACGGACAATAACCCGTTGGTCTTTTACAAGACCCAGGACACAGTCAACAGCACCATTGCCCGCTGGATGACCTTCATTGACCAGTTTGACTTTTTCCCCGATCACATTCCAGGCAAGTCGAACCGTTTTGCGGATGCTCTTTCACGGCGTCCGGACCATTGCACCACGGTCTACTCGACGTTCAAGATTGATGACGACTTGCGAGACAGTTTCATCCGCGGCTACCAGGCCGACCCCGAGTTTCGCGACAAGTACGCGAATTGTTCCTCACCCAATCCGGCACCTTCTCACTACCGGATCCAGGAGGGATATTTGCTCGTCCACTCGCGGGGGAAGGATCTTCTTTGCGTATCGAGTGACCCTTACTTGCGTACGCGGCTTCCTGGCGAGTTCCACGATGCTCCCGCCACCGGACATTTTGGTGTCAATCGAACGATTGGCCGACTTCGCGAGCAATTTTGGTGGCCCGGTCTTCTCGACGACGTCACACGCTACTGCGAGTCATGCGAGATTTGCCGACGTTGCAAATCCCGCAATCATCGTCCGTATGGCGAGTTACGACCACTACCGGTTCCCTTGCGCCGACGGGAGGCGATTGCCATGGATATCACTGGACCATCCCCCAAGCACAAGACCGGTGTGGATGGGATTCTCACGGTAGTCGATCGACTCACCAAGTTTGCCATGTTTTTGCCTTGTCGCTATCATGCCAAGGCACCAGAAGTGGCCGAGGTTCTCTACGCCGGTTGGATTCGAACCAAGGGTTACCCCAAGGAAATCGTCTGCGACCGCGACACTCGGTTCATGTCTGATTTTTGGTTGGCACTCACCAAACGATGGGGCTCATCTCTCAAGCCTAGTTCAGCTCGCCACCCTCAGACGGATGGCCAGACGGAGAGGGCGCACCAGACGGCACAGGTTCTTCTTCGCACTCTCATCCGTCCCGATCAGAAGGATTGGGTTAAGCAGCTGCCGGATGTCGAATTGGCCTACAATTCGTCCATCCACCCGGCTATCGGGATGTCGCATTTCGAGTTTGAGCATGGCTCTCTGGTCACTTCTCCGCTGGACACCATCGTTCCACGCACGGCCAAGAGCGACGACCATCTTCTTTTCTTGCACCGGATGCAAAAGATTCTTTTCAAGGCACGCAATCAGATGGCAAAGACGCAGCAACGCATGAGCCACCAGGCCAATCGCCAGTGTCTTCCTTGTCCATTTCGCGCCGGCGACCTCGTGTGGGTTTCCACCGCGGAATTAAGCCTTGAGCAGGATATCTCTCGCAAGCTCCTCGCGAAATGGATGGGCCCATGGCCAATTGTAGCACCTGCTGGGCATGCACCTGAGGGACTGTCCTTCACAGTTTAGGTGCCCGCCCACTTGCCCGTCTACCCGGTTTTCCATTGCTCTAAGTTGGCGCTGTACACACCAGCAGACCAGGATGACTTTCCCGGGCGACGATCTCAAGACCCACCCTCTATGGATGACTTTCAGGAGGTCGGTGACATCATTTCCCAACGACGCTACGTCAACAAGCCGACCGAGTATCTGGTACACTTTGCGTATTGCACCCACCGAGCCGACCGCTGGTTGACCCGTGCGGAACTCCAAGCGACAGCTCCAGATGTTCTCGCACGGTATGAACGAAAGATGCAAGGCAAGCCGACATCTTCGGCTCCACGCCGCAACCGCGTCCAGGTTCCACCTTCAGATCGTCGGCTGCGCCCCCGACCAGGCTTGACTTCATAAGGAGGGGGGGATGTTACATGCTGCGCCTGCACACGAGGGCCATTTTCCAGGCCCTGTGTCGTTCAGGCTGGAAGCCTGAATTTCAGGCTCAAGGCCTGGAAATAAGGGCCTGCAGACCCCAGGACGGTTCAGCCCAAATGTCGGACATCCGGGGCCCACAGGACCTGCATCGTTTCAGCCAAAAAAGGCCCGAGTCTTTTCAGCCTGAAACTGAGGGCTATTCTCGGGCTTGCAGACCCCATGACGGTTCAGCTCAAAAGCCTGACATCCGAGGCCCACAGGCCCTGCATCGTTTCAGCCTAAAAAAGGCCTGAGCCTTTTCAGCCTGAAACTGAGGG